CCCCATGAGGCTGGCACCATGTGGTCCACTTTAGGGGCCCATCAAGTATGTCATGTACTGTGGCTGCATGAACCCTGATGTTGATTGCAGCCTGTGATGTGGTTTGACCAACGAAATAATGTGGTAGTGAAGCCTGTCACCCTGACAGAATAGTCTGGAAGATGTCTCTCCATGTCTGATAACACCTAGCAGGTATCTAAACCTTTATCCCCATACCAAGAGAACGAGGGTGGACATGTGTTATGAACAAGGAACATGCCTTCTTTAGTGTAATCCACTAAAGCTTTTGGGCTGTTCTTTACCCACAATAACATTTAGGCTGCCCTTATATGAATGCATCCCCTATTCTATCCTCTAGGAGGCAGCAGAGCCTAACATTGGAAGCCAGAGCTATGTGGTTAGAGACACATGGGCTTGACTTCAAGCCATGCCTCTTATTAACTCTACAATCAGGCGGTTTATTCTGAGTCTCTGAGCCTGGATTCCCTCCCCATTACAGGTGTGGAGAGGATTCAATGAAATAATGCATGTAAAGCATTGAATCCAAGACCTGGCATATGTAGTAAACATTCACAATATGTTTGTGAATGTTTATAGTTTCACAATGTGTATTGATCGCAAGTATTCTAACAATGTAGGAAATGTCAACTTGTTGGCCTATGTATTCTTTCAATTTTTATTTTAAAATGAATAGGGTAGGATCATATATATATATATTCTCTCATAGCCTGCTTTTTCTCTAAATAATGTGTTATTTTTATGTTAAAAAGAAATCCAGACTGGAATGGCTCCGTTTGTTGACCAGAACATTTGCCAGTTAGGTTTTCCTTTGAGGGCACCAGCTTGGGTTATGGACACAATCCCCATTCGGGGGCATGGCGAAGTCAACCAATCTGTGTTTCTCTTTTTTTGTCTTCGTTCTCTTTCTCAAAATCAATTAAAACATCTTTATTTAACCATTTATAGTTGTCATCTTCAGGAAACATGGAAATAAGACTTTTTGCCTCATGAAGCATTCTGAGTTTTACAGAATCTGAAATGTGTGCAAATGAACACATCAGTTGCAGACCACACATCCCAGAAACCTGTCATCAAAATCTCAAGTTGTCCTTACCCAGCACCAATATTTGCTCTCCCAGTGATTGTCTTGGATCCTAATTCCACTTGGGAGTCCTAGAAAAGTACATTACCCAATGGGCATTTCAACTAAGAATGGCTGTGTTTAGCCAATGAAAGCCCAGGATAGGCACATTATCCCGGTGAACTTGGTTGAGGGTAGGAGCGCCAGGTCTCGAGCAGAAAAAGGTGTCAGGCAGTGTCTGAGCTCTGCAGGGTGTGTGTCAGGCTTTTTGAGCCTAAGCAGTCTGGTATTGAGGCCTCTGTACCTCCCAGACTCCTCTCTGCTTACAGAGTTCTACTCAGCCTCAGCTGTTTTAACCCTCCAGCGTGACTCTCAGATCGCAGCATCCAGAACTGTGAGTTGCTCAGGAGTGACACGGTGTGATGGGAAAGAGGGTAAGGGGTTGCAATGCCGCAGTGCAAGGATGTGATGGTGTGACTGAGCAGAGAGGACTTGTTTTGTGTCTAAAGGCAACGAAGAAGATGAGGCAAAGTTTTGTGTGAGGTTTTTTATGTTGATTCTCAGGTAACTGGGGCTATGGATGGTCATGAACAAAAGAGAGGCATTGTCTGAGATAGGGTTCTGAACTTTTCCCCAAAAATGTTCACCATAAAATATTCCTCCGTAGATGGATAATACTTCATTCAGTTGGAATTTACCAAGCATTCTCTGTACCACACTCTGAGTGAAAACTAGGAAGGCAAGGAGATGACTCTGAGTGCTGTGGTGGAGGGAGTGCAGGTGTGAGAGAGGTGTGGTAGAAAGAGTGAGTACAGCGGAAATTGTTTTGGCTTAGTGGATAAAGTGTCAGCCTGTGGACGGAAATGTCCCAGGTTCGATTCCGGTCAAGGGCATGTACCTTGGTTGTGGGCGCATCAACAGTGGGGGGGAGGGTGTGCAGGAGGCAGCTGGTTAATGTTTCTCATCGGTTTCTAGCTCTCTATCCCTCTTTCTTCCTCTCTGTAAAAAAAATTTTAAAAAATGAGTGTGTTTGGAGAGTGAGTGTGAATTCATGGCTACAGCACACTGACATACAAGTGAATGAAGAGTAATCCACTTTCTAGTGGTGTCTCTATGATATCCTATGGGGGAATTTTAGGGTTTCTATTGAAGGAGGGGATGTTGTCATGTTATATGCTAGGTCCAAATCTTAGATGCCATGTATGTAAACACTTGCCTGTTGGTGTTGAGGGCTGATACAGTGATCCATTGGAAAGAGATAGCATGTTTCAGGGTCACCTGGCTTTGAAAATCTCCATAGCCATGGGAAAGGAAATATGATACACATTACGGAGGTGGTGAACTTGAATTTTGGAAAAAAAGCTGATTCTGAAACAACTGATTCTCATCGTGGCATATTGGTGTTATCTTTGAAGTTCTGCCTCTGGGAATGAAGATAAGTGAGAGAAAGTGTGCTTCAAAGAATTATATGGAGCAGGTAGTGGAAAGTGATGGCCTCAGCACCCTGGGTTGAGATTGGAAGGATAAAGTGTGATGCCATGTTTTTTTGTGTCTTAGTGGGACAGTCCAGGGCACTGCCAGGGGGATGTCTGATAAGACCAGTGTCAAACCACTCACACTTTCTTGATGGCCCACAACTCTCCCTCCCTAAGTTCATGACAACCACTTATTGACCAGACCCAATGTGAGGCCCAGAGCACTGGTATCATCAATCAGCTTACCTACCTTATTGTTGTGGGAAAGCATAGTATCTGCAGGAATACAAAGAGATACTGACTTGGAAGACCTGGTATATTTTCAGATGTTGGGAGTAGAGGGGTCCGATATATTGGGAGGATGATGACCCATCTATATAGTTGATCATGCTGCAGCCATGGAGAATCCAATGAGACCTTGATCACATGACTTGCCCCTACTGCTCGAAACCTCCCATTACCTGCAGAGCACACTTCCAACATGACACAGAGCTCCTGTATATAGATGGGATGGAGGCGGTAGAAGACTAGGATGGTAGCCGCTGTGACAGTCTCGGTGAGTGTGATGGTAACTGGCCCTGATGGTGGCTCTGGTGGTGAAATAAGCTTTGGATTCTAGATTGGTGTTTTAGGCGTGGCCACCTGGATTTCTAATTTGGATGTTGAGAGAGAGGTAAGAATCAGGGATGTGAGTGAGGGGTTATGGGGATGGGGAGGGATTGGAAAAAGAACACATTATGTAACAACTTAATCAACAAAGAAATTACCAAAAAAAAGTTAGGGATGATATAAAGGTTTGCATTTGATGACGGAGGTATGGAAGGACCATCAGCTGAGATGCAGATATTCATATTAGGAAATGTAATGTTACTTGGGGATGCCAAAACTTCTATATTTTACCTATTAGGGTTTCCGATATTTCAGAGAGCAGTTCATGAGCATTTGGAACTCTGAGGAGCAGTTCAGAATAACAACTCTAAAATGTAGGTGGGAATATAAGGACCAGATTGGAGTTGTAGGTCATTTTCTTTCTTTTTAATTGGAGACCAAGGAGTGAGTCAAAGAAGGTGAGACTGCGGCTGTTGCATATTCCCTTGTTAAACGCACATCAGGATTTTGATTGAGCCTTAGTCTGGGATATTCTCATCAGTCTGGTTGATTTGCTGGGTGGCACGAGTAGGCATCTGTAAGACTCATTGGTAATGGGGTAACGGGCCTTAGGTGATGGGACTTGAGGGCCAAAAGCTGTGATTGGTGAAGGGACATCAGGTGCAGCTCCCGTGGAGGTGTTTTCTGGATATCTGAGATCTGATGTGGTTGTCAGTAATTGAGATTGAAGGGAAACACAATCAGGGAGGGAGGCCTCCATAGAAGAACTTAAGGCTGCCTCAATGATTGTGGGCTCTCAGAGTTGGTGTAGGACTTAATCCTGTTTGAATTTGCCAAGCACTCACTACTCTACACAAGCTTAGTAATGAGTAGGAAGTCAAGTAAATCACCCTGGGTGCTGTGAGTGTGGGAGTGTAGGTGTGAGATGGGTGTAAGACAAAGTGTGATATACCCTTGGAGTAGTCATATGCCTTCATAGTTAAAGGGCCCTGACATTGACATTATAAGAAATGAAGTTTGAGTCCATTTCTATGCTGTCTGGAAATATGATATTGTGAATTTCCGATTAATTCATGAAAGGGGGATGTATTTTCTTGGAGAACATTCCTGGTGCAGCGCTTCAGTGGAATTTATGTGCACACCTAGCTTTTGTTGTTGAGGGCTGTTACACTGATCAATAAGAATAAGATAGCATACATCTCTGTCTTCTAGGCTCGAAACTTTGGCATGGAGATGGGAGAAGGGTAAGAGAGAAATACACTACCGAGGTGGTGGGGTAGAATTTTGGAAAAGAAGGTGATTAGGAAATAAACTGTGGTCATTTTGGTACTTTTATGTTACATTTGAAGTTGTGTCTCTGGGAATACAGCTGTGTGAGAGAAGTGTGGTTCAAAGCATTATCTGCAGCAGGTAGTGATGGCGTCAGCACCCTGGGATTAGGTTCAAAAGTTTGAACAATGATACCATAACCTTGTGATTCCCTGAATAGACAGATGACAAGGTGATTGCCTGTCAAACACGGTGGCAAATCACTCACAGTCTCCTTATGGACACCATCTCTCCCTACCCTATGTTCATGACACCCACTGCATTGAAAAGGGGTGTGGTCTACATGTGAGTTTCAGAGAAGAGATATCATCTACAAGATTGTTTGCCCTTATTGTTGGGGGAATACACGGCATTGACTGGAACAAAAGGAGAGAATGACTTTGATTGGACTCTTTTCTAATGTGGAGAGTTGAGGGGGCAGATGGATGTAGAGGTTGGGGAGTATTATGAACATAAAATCCTAAAAGAATAACTCATCATGGACTGTACTCTGCCCATTGTGACAGGAGATGAACTTTGAGGACGTGGTCATCACCTTCTCTGAGGAGGAGTGGGGGATCCTTGATGAGGTACAGAGACGTCTGTACTGCAAGATGATGGTAGAAGCTTTTGCACTGGTCTCATCTGTAGGTAAGACCTCCACATCTCTCCTAGTGTTCTGAGGTGACGTCCTCTCCTCCTTTCTTTTCTGGATATAGCTTTCACAGCCAGACTGTGGGCTGTACTTGTTTTCCCCATTATTCTGTCAAATGTACTGTGGCTGAGAGTGCTGAGTAATTTGGAAAGATCTGAACAAAGGACTCCATGAATATACCTCACACCCATAGCTTCAGATAGGACAGGAAGTATGTGGGAGTCAGGATTGTTGCAAACAGCTTAATGTTCCAAGCTTTCACTTTCTCTTTCTGGGAGGGTGTCTATGTCCACATACATGGCTCCCACTTCTGCAGCATTCCTCCAGCTAAAGGCTCTTTGTGACTAACTGTGCCAGGTTATGGTCTGTATTTGCATGAGCCATGGGCAGTTCTTGAAAGTCCTCCTTCAATTGTTTGTAATATTCTGTTCCCTGAATACTATTGGATGCTGTCTTGCTCAGGTCAGTGCTGGCTACTCACCTCTGTTGTCTTTTAATAAAACACAGAGTATTGTTGTTTTATGTTTTTGTACAGTAAAAGTTGCAAGGAGAACTGTTTTTTTCACAAGGTGAACATACAGGATGGCATAAGGGTTGCCTTGCCCTCCTGATTTGCAGCTGGGGGGTGGGATGATGTAAGGATGGTGTTTAGATCATACCGGGAACCTGCTCATGTCCAACAAGTTTAGCTTGAGGTGCCACTGGCAATAGCTTTCTTCTACCTTTTTATTCTCCTGCTTAACACTTCCCTGACCTGGCTACCTCCACCCTCTGGCTCTTTTCCATCACCTGTTCTTCTGAACTATTCTATCTGCAGTATTTCATTTTATTTTATTTTAAAAAATATGTTGAATTGAAATTTTTTACAGAGAGAAAGTTAGAGGGATGGAAAACATAGAAACATTAATCAGCTGCCTCATGCACACGCCGTACTGGGGATGTGCCCACAACCAAAGTACATGCCCTTGATCAGAACTGAACCTGGAGCCCTTCTATTTGAAGGCCAATGCTATATGCACTGAGCCAAACCTGTTAGGGCTGCAGTATTTTCAAATATTGACATGGATATGTGTTACGAGGTGCACAGAACTGAGTCACTAGACCCTGACACAAGGTTCTGGTTTTTGAATTTTACAAGTTATTGTGGAATAAGTGGTAGCCAACCTTAAAGCATAGCTAGTATATGCCACCAGCAGACAAGCCCTGTTTAACACTATTAGCAGAAAAATGATCAGATGATCCAGCTTCTTTTTCGTGTGGTGCTTGCCATGTTTGTTTCATATTTTGCATGAGGTCTTCCTTGTATGATAATCTTCAGACGCCGAGATCTTCACAGCAGCATCTTGTCAATATTTCCTTCAGATATTTACTGTCAGACATTTGCATGCAATCAACTTGTTATGTGCAACACACTTTTGTAATGAGACTTCTCCCTGTAACCACAGTCGACATTCATTTCATCACCATTTTTCTGTTTTCAGGTTGTGGGCATCAAATGGATGATGCAGAGGTGTGTTCTGAGCAGCATGTATCTGTAAAAGGGGAGTTGCAGGTTAGTGCTCCTAATTCAGCTCTAGCAACAAAGAGGATGCATCTCTGTGGGAGGTGTTTCTCTGTGTTAAAAGATAGTCTGCACCTGACTGAGTCACAAGCAGCAGATTTGGAACAGAAAGCATTTTTCAGTGATGCATGTGTGAGAGACTTCTGTTTCAGTGCAAACCCTCCCCATCAACTGAAGGAATCCAGTGGAGAGAAGCCCTGGAAAACAGCTGTGGACGGGGCCTCATTTGTGACCAAGTGCAGCTTTTATTTACCAGCGCTGTCTTTAAACAATAGGGAAGTTGGGGAAGACTTCCCAGCCATCTCAGAGCTTGTCCAGTACCAGGCACTTCTCGATACTGAGGAACCCCAGAGTCGTATTGAGAGTTCACAGGAATTTCTCATAAGAAAAAGGCAGCACCAATGGGATGAATGTGAAAAAGCTGCCAGCCAAAACCAGAACCAGGGCATCAGTGCCAGGGAAGTGAAATATGAGTATAATACATGTGAGAAAGTTTTCAGCTGTACCTTTAACCACAATAAACATAGTAGAGATCACACTGGAGAAAAGTCCTATCGGTGTACTGACTGTGGGAAGCTGTTCAATCTAAAGGCTTCCCTCACTAAACACCGCAGAATTCACACTGGAGAAAAACCATTCGAGTGTAGTGATTGTGGGATGTCCTTCAGCACTATCTCTAATCGCCTTAGGCACCACAGAGTTCATACTGGAGAAAAACCTTATAAATGTAGTGAATGTGGGAAATCGTTCAGGAGCAATTATGACGTCTTGACCCATAAGAGAGTTCACAATGGAGAAAAACCATATGATTGTAGTGATTGCGGGAAGTCCTTCAGTAGGAGTTGTGCCCTCACTCTACACCGGAGAGTTCACACTGGAGAAAAACCTTATAAATGTAATGATTGTGAGAAGTCCTTTAGTAATAGTCATGCCTTAAATGTACACCAGAGAGTTCACACTGGAGATAAACCTTATAAGTGTAGTGATTGTGAGAAGTTCTTCAGTAATAGTTATGCCCTCACTGTACACCAGAGAGGTCACACTGGTGAAAAACCTTATCAGTGTAGTGATTGTGAGAAGTCCTTCAGTAATCGTTCTGCCCTCATTGTACACCAGAGAGGTCACACTGGAGAAAAACCTTATAAGTGTAGTGATTGTGAGAAGTCCTTTAGTAACAGTCATTCCTTCATTGTACACAAGAGAGTTCACACTGGAGAAAAACCTTTTAAGTGTAGTGATTGTGAGAAGTCCTTCAGTAGAAGTTCTGTCCTCATGCTACACCAGAGGGTTCACACTGGAGAAAAGCCTTATCGGTGTAATGATTGTGAAAAGTCCTTCAGTAGCAGGTCTACCCTCACTCTACACCAGAGAGTTCACACTGGAGAAAAACCTTATAAGTGTGGTTATTGTGAGAAGACTTTCAGTTACAGGTCTTCCTTCGCTGTACACAGGAGAGTTCACACTGGAGAAAAACCTTATAAATGTAGTGAATGTGGGAAATCATTCAGTCAAAGTTCCAATCTCATGGAACACCAGAAAATGCACACGAGAAAAGCTGTATGAGTGTAGTGACTGTGGTATGTCTTTCAGGAAAAAATGTACTCTCATTCAACACCACAGAGTTCACACTGGAAAAGGGCCTCATGAGTGTATGGAGTGTGGGAAATCTTTTCACTACAAATCTTTCCTCATGCAACACTTGAGAGTCCACACTGGAGAAAAGCTTTAAATGTCCAGGGAATATTTTACTTTCTCACTCAGAAGAACACAACCAGAGGAGAAGCTTTTACCCGCATTTACCTGAATGGAAACCCCTCTATCAGAACATGCACTCTGCTAGATGCCTGCTAAGTTTCAGGTATAAGTGACACTTCCAGAAGCCGGATTTATGTCATTGAAAGGATTTGTGTGGAAGCTCTTTCACTCCTACCGCCTGCTTCACCCGAAGAGTGTGCATCAGTCACAACCCCTGCATGCTCTGGGATTGTACTTGAGAAAATTACGAATATTCTGAGCTCCTGGATGAATTGTCATTCCTTTATTTCTGACCAGAGAATTGACCTGATCCAGGTTTTTTCCAGAGTCCACTTCCTCCACCTAGAAATGATAACTCTTTCAGGGACATTGTGGGTCTCACAGTATGCTGTGATGAAGTGTTTTAGGTTCAGTTCATCCACATACAAACCTCTTGCTGTCCTCTGCTCTGGTTTATGATCTTTATGTAAAGGTGTTTTTAGTTTTGTACCTTTAATTTTGTCGGTTCTATTTTCCCACTGGGATGATTAAAAGAAAAGTTGTGTTCTGTCAGCATGAAGGGGTACCATATACATACAAATATATATGCTCCAGCAATATGGTGTGATTTCAAACTTTCTGTGCTTTGGAAAGCACAGCTTGATTCAGAAAATTACTCTTTGTTTAATATTGGCTGATTTTAAATTGCCGACCAAGGCCTTGATAGAAAGTGTGCCTGACTTTGTGGTTCTAATATGCTCTCTGGTGCCTCTTTTATTGTAGAGGTCACTGGTCAAAAGCCGCCCTGAACAGGCAGCCTTTATTGTGTTCCTGTGAACAATATGAATTATATTCCCTTTTCCCAGTATGTATTACCTAAATATCAGCAATGTTTAGGGGAACTACTCTTCACGTGCTCCAAAAAGGCCATGTGTCACGATGTATGAGATTTCATAGCCTGGTGTCATTGGTTGTAAGACTCTGAGGTGGAATAAGTTTGGGACATAAACACTGTTTTCATAGTTAAGGCTGACACTGCAGTTAAACTGCATAAAACGTGCCTCTTTCAACATAAATCCAAAGTATTTCATGTCCTGTCGTTTGTATGATCTGTGAGAACGTTCTGAGGACCTCCATTACTATTTCCTGTAGTTGGCCTCAGTAGCAAACAAAATAATATCATGGTTTTGGGCATTTCCTGGCCCCTTAAAAGTGTTCATCTCAAGGTTGTTGCCCAACAGGCAAGACCTCAGAGCTAGAGGAAGGATCACTCTGTAATCAGGCCCAGAATGTGTTTTTTTAACCAGTCAGCATTAGTTGTCTCCCCTACTTGACCATATTTGCTGTCACTGAGCAAAACTGGTCTTCCCAGGGAATGAGAACTGAAATGGAACAAAGTGCCCCTTTCTCATGTGTGCTATTTGGTGAGCCCTGACCTAGAGATAAAGCTGTGAAACTGTCACATGTGAGATAAACCCTCCTGTAACTCATACACAGGGTGGGGCAACAATGTGCTTACAGTTGTATGTTTGCAAAAAACAGAGATGATTCCTTTTGAAAAAAATATTTTGGAAAATAATTTTGTTCATTTTTGGGGGGGGGGGGGAGAGGAAGTAAGAGACTGGAAGAGAGAGGTCTGCTGCCTCCTGCACAGCACAACGGGAAATCCATTTAGGGATGTTTACTGACCTGGAATCAAACCAGGGACCTGTCAGTGAATGGGATCACAACCAACCAACAGAGGACACTGGACAGGGCACAGTTTATTCCTGTTTATTATTATTAATTAAAGTTCCATTTTCTGTATCAATAACTCTATACCTTCTTTCTACTGTCCTGTTATAATCTCTCTGCCTTTCTGGGTCTTCTTTGAACTCGGGGATTTTCCATTCTTTGCAATAGGATAGTTCATAGTGTTCATAATTTCCTACTATTTTATGTATATTTTAATAAATACTGGTTTCCTCCATGCCACACAATGATTTTGAGATTCAATACACATGCTTGTGTGAAGAGTTAAATTTTTTTTTTTATTGCTGAGTAGTACTGGATTCTGTGAATAAGCAGTTTATTAATTGATATATGGGTGTTTTTTTTTGTTATTTACAGGTTTGGGGTGTTATACATAACTCTTCTGGGAATATTTCCATTCAGTTCTCTGTATAGACATATGGTTTACATATCACACTGTTGTGTAGGTGAATGTTTTATATTTAAGATAGGCAGAACTATGACCCAAAATGGTCATTTATTTTGGTATACCACTAACCCAGAATATATAAAAATTCCTATCTTTTTGCTACTCTGCAAGGGCATACAATAGTTAACCTTTTAAAATAATAACCCCAGTAATGCAGATAATAATAACTTGCTTTTGTTTTGTTTTTTTTGTTTTTTTTGTTTTTATATTTGACATTTTATTTTAGGCTACAAAAATAAGCAAACAAACAAACAAAAAACTTGAAATGAACTTGTCAAATGATGAAAATTCATCCTTTCCAGGGAAGGAGAAGGTAGACCCTACCAAAGAAGAGATGTTTAGTTAATGGAGGTTAATTTTAAAAGTACAATTAAAATAATAAAGTTTAACGTCTGAAAATACTAAGTTTTATTTATCTCCCTATGGTAACTAGCCAATAACCACACAATTGAGTTAGGGTTCTTTATAGTTAACTATGTCACCTAAAATATTAAAAATCCATTGAACAATCAAATAGATGTAGTCTTACTGGAAATTCTTAACCATAGATTGTCTTGCCCAGTTTGTTTCTGTTTTTAAAATGACTTGTTTCAGTATAGGCACTGTATTTCTATAACAAAGTAATGAAAGACAAAACTTAAACCCACTTAACTACCAGCTGAAAAAATACTTTGGTTCTTCAGGAAAAAAAAAATTAGCAAAACAAAAAAATCTGTTTCATTTAACAGTTCATTTATTTTCATAGCTGTATCTAATAGTTACATGATAAAAATACCCCAGAAGAACCAAACTATATAGCAATGAATGAAAATGTGTGAGAGAATTTCTGCATTCAACATACCTGGCAGAAAAACTAAATTTAAAATGTTAGGTAGAACAAAATTGTCTTTAAAGTATCAATTCCTTGCCGAGACCGGTTTGGCTCAATGGATAGAGCGTCGGCTTGGGGACTGAAAGGTCCTGGGTTCGATTCCGGTCAAGGGCATGTACCTTGGTTGCGGGCATATCCCCAGTAGGGGGTGTGCAAGAGGCAGCTGATCGATGACTCTCTCTCTCATTGATGTTTCTAACTCTCTATCTCTCTCCCTTCCTCTGTTGGGAGCTAGCAGAGTTGAGGCAAGCAACTCAGTCTTAAGGAAATGGAATTGGGTTCCTTCTAGCAGAGGTTGTGTGGTGCCCTGAGGGCTTGGCCAGAAGATAAGATTAACCTGGGGTTTAGCATCTCCTGTCTTCCTGCCTCTTCCCCTTCCTGATCCTCCCCCCTAGATAGCCCAGCCTTGGAATATTGCACCTTGGAATGTCACACCGCCTTTGGCAATTAGTCAATCCTGTGTTGCCATACCAAAGACCCCCCTGCATGGGCGGCCCTGCCCCCCTTTGTCTCTGCTGTATAAATACAGCCATTTCAGAGAATAAAACTGAGGCTTGATCAGAACCTTGTCTTGCCTCCATTCTTTCGCGTTCCTTGTTTGATTCATTCTCTTAGGTGGTTCCTGTGTGCCCCCGTTGTTGTCCCGCGGGCCGGGACATTCCTCTCTGTACAAAATCAATAAAATATGTTTAAAAAAAAAAATAAAGAAAAAATAAAGTATCAATTCCTTCCTTTTAAAAAAAATTACTGGGGCTACCAAGAACATACAAAAACGTTAAGTCTGTAAGTAAATAATAGTTGTGTTTAGGCTATTACAGTGCAGATTATCCTCAAGGCCATACATCCTGCTTCACTGCTGCTTGCACTCTGCTGGGTTTTGATCCTTCTGTTAAAGGAAAATAACAAGTCAATCTATCTTTTTCTACCAGCTTCAGTTAATATTTCATTAGTAATTATCTCACTGCTGTCAAAAATTTTGCCAAATTTTAAAAGAGGGTATTAGCAATGATAGCAAATTATTATTCAAACATTAGCAGATCATGAGCTAAATTAAAATGGAAATTTTACACAATACAATGAACTCCATAAAGTGAGACAGAGCCATAATCTTGAAAAATTAAATAACCAAGCAATCTGTTAGTTATAATAGCCATTATTTTACAGATCAGTTGCTCAAAAAAATACTAATTCCATTCATAAATAGTTGTTATGAGTAAGTCATACCTGTTGGAATATTTGATTTTTAACTATCTCCTCTTACCTGCCCAGTAGGTTAAAGTATCTTTGGATATTTTGTGGCATTTAGCAAATGAATGAATTCAAAAGAAACCAGTTTAAAAACAAAGGCCTTTACTAACCCTGATATGAAAAATTCCTGGGACTCAGATGGAGAAGAGAGGTGGTCCCCTAAATCCCACGTACTCCTATATTAAGGTAATTTAAAAACTGACTTTTGTTTATAAGCTTTCCTTTGGAGGGTAAACAGCCTAAAACCACAAGCTATAATTTAAAATGCTTCTTTAAAAATGTACATGATAGTATGCCATTAAAACAGAATCCTAGACCAGCCGGTATGGTTCACTGGTTGATTGTTGACCTATATACCAGGAAGTCACAGTTGGATTTCAGGTCAGGGCACATGTCTGGTTTATGGGCTCAATCCCCAGTAAGGGGTGCTGGAGGCAGCCAATCAATGACTCTCATCATTGATGTTTCTTTTTCTCTCTCCCCTCTCCCCTCCTCTCTAAAAACAATAAAAGTGAAAAATAAAAAGAATTCTAGGGCTTAGTCTGGAATTTAAAAATATAAGGTCAGACCTAAAATAAGTTTCTTAAGACATGCACTGAAATTAAGTGTATTGTTGAAATGCCAGTGAGGACTATATATGGGCTAAACATTTTTAATGGATAAAATTAAACTTTATATTGAGATATTAACTTTTATTTAACCTGCCTTAAATTAATAAAAAACAGCATTACTTATACTCACCTTTGAGTCATAGTCTGGATCATTTTCCTCAATAACTTGCTTTTGTTTTAATTCCATCTACGCAGGAATATTTTATGGTGAACATTTTTATACATTTCTTTGCACAGTATTTATCTTCTTTGTTAAAATATCTGCTGAGAATCTTTTTTCAAATTGTTTAAATAAATTTATTATTTTAACTGAAGGAGGCCTGTGCCGCTTAAATTTCCCTCATTCCTCAGTGACTCAAGTAATGCCTTTGCCAGGTGAAACCATTGGTTTTGAATCCTGAAGGAAAATTATGTTACTCATTTTTAATGCTCTTAAGAACTGAGGCAAAATTATACCATATACTTATAAATTTAATCTGCATTGTTAATTTCAGAGCGACTCTTATTGAAGTCTAAGCATTTATTAATACATTAAATGAAGTGTATGGTTACAGTATTTGTCAATTACCCTGCCATAAATATTCTTACCATGGTCAGTTTTAGACTGCCAGAGAAAACAGTGAATATGCACATGATAACATTTCAGTAGTACATCCTTGTATTTTATTTCCAACATACTGATACAGTTGCAACAAATATGCTCCAGAACTTTCATAATAACACAGTAAATCTTCTTGAACCCTCAAATTTTGGACCTTTTTAAAGTTTCATTTAATTACAATTCATGTAAATCACACATTCAAACAATATTTTGTATTGATTTTAGGGAGTATGGGAGAGTAGGAGAGAGATAGAAACATCAATGATGAGAGAGAATCACTGATAGGCTTCTTCCTGTACTTCCCTTCTCCCTGGGAATTGAGCCTGAAACCCATGCATGTGCCCTGACGATGAATAGATCCATTACCTCCTGGTTCATACCATGACTTCCTGGTTCATAGGTCAATGGTCAACCACTGAGTAACCCCAGCTGGGATACAGTATTTGAAAAATTATTCTTTTTATTCTTTTTATTTATTTTTTAGAACGTCCTTGTTCTTTTTTTTTTTTACTGATTTTTTAGAGAGGAAGGGAGAGAGATACCCAGGAAAGTCCATGAGAGAGAAACATCCACCAGCTGCTGAGAGGGCAGGGCGGAGTGAGGGGGCATGGGGGGTGAGAGGGCGGGCTGGATGAGAGGGCAGGGTGGGGCGGGTCCAGCTCCCGGTAACTGGACCCTAGGCCTAACCCAACCAATCAGGTCAGCCAAGGTAGCGGCACCACCCTCCCTATAAAACCCATTGATAGGTTAAGTTCTTTCTCTTTCTCCCCATGCCCTCCCTGTTGTAAGTGGGACTGAGCGTTGAAAGTCCGATATAAATACAGGCTTTCTGCTATTGCATCGGATTGGGCTCCCTGGTAGTCTTTGCGGTTTATGACCCGGGCATTACAGCTGCCTCTTGCACCACCCCTACCCGGGGCTATGCCCGCAACCAAGTTAATGCCCTTGACCGGAATTGAACCTGGGACCTTTCGGTCCGCAGACCACTGAGCCAAACCGGTTTCGGCTGAAAAATAATTCTTTTACTATCTGTATGTCTTATTGTTGATAGTATTACCGAGGTCTGCCATTTCCCCCTTATATGTATTCTTCGGTGGATCTGTCCGTGTGGACCAGGTAAGTAGACCTCCAGCCCCATCATCTCCTCCAGCACCACTTTTGGGGCCTCCACACCTTTACTCCAAGTTCCTTGGCTGGGATGAGTCCTCTGAGATCGGAAAAACATTACCCAGAAGGCACTTCACCAGAGTGAGCGGTAAATAGCGTTTGATTCCTGCACATCCGGTTGGGGCGGGACTTCCTGCGTCCTCCTCCTGGCGGCCATTTTGGTGTGTTCGCGTGTTCACAGACTCAGCGGCAGCGCTCAGGCGGCCAGTAGGAGAATACGTGGGTAGCGGCGTCCCGCCGGGCAGGTGTCTGAGGCGGGGGGACCCCACCCGGCGGGACTGGGTCCCCGGGTCCCCGCCTCCTCCCGCGGACACAGCGGCCCCGGCGGCCCTCCCGCCTCGGGGCGGCGCCGCTCAGGCCGCAGCCCAGGCCGCCGCCCGGAGCAGTGAGTGCCCGTGGGGGCCGCAGGGGCGGGCGGGGCCCGGGAGGCCGGGGCGGAGGGGGGCGGCCGGCCTGTGTGTCTAAAGGGACCGGGGCTTCCGGGAGGAGCCTGTCCTCAGGGGCCGGGCTGTGGGCTGAGGTCAGGGCCTCCCACTGTGGGGGCCTCAGGCTGTGGGGCCTGGGCTGTCCAGCCTCTCTCCTCGGGGGACCTTGGACCTGGGGACCTTGAATGGGCACTAAGCCTAGCACCTTAACCATAGGGTAAGGGTCATATGATTGGCACCTGATTTGGGCAACCAGTGGAATTGTGGTTGATAGGCCCTTCCATGCATAGGATCCATAACGTGCGAAGGCTTGAAGTGAAGACCAAGCCTTCTGGGTAATGTAGTTTTTCCTATACTGCTCAAGGATGAGCAGGTGTTAATTTTTTAAAAATCGGAACTGTCTACAGCAGTGTTTCCCAACCTTCTCTCATGATGAGAATCACCTGGTGGAGTTGTTAAAACACAGATTCCTGAATCCCAGCTAAGAAGTGCTAAACTAGAATTTTTGAGAACATATAGGTAAAATTGCATACCTAACTTAGTGCTTTGTATATAACATCTGTCTTAGAGCACTAGTTAAGTATACAATATTACCTATATGTTCCCCAAAATTCTAGTTTAGCACTTCTTAGTTGGGATTCAGGAATCTGTGTTTTAACAACTCCACCAGGTGATTCTGATCATGAGAGAAGTTTGGGAAACACTGGTCTACAGGAATCAAGTCCAGAGGAGCTTTGTGACAATTTCGGTTTCTGTTCTGCTGACGGTGGGGTCATTGGAGCAGTAGAGCAGGTGATGTGTCCCAGGTCTCATTAGACTCCTGTGACTGCAGCATGAGGCACAGCATGGGTGTGAGGACGGGGTAGGAAGACTACAATGGAAGATGCCGTGATGGCCTTGGTGAGGGGGATGGTGACGGGAGCACAGTGGTGGTTGTGGCTGTGGAAGAAGCAGTTGCCTTAGGGATCAGTGATTTAGGTGTGGCCACCTGGATTTTCTAATTTTGAAGTTTGGGGAGCGAGGTAGGAATCAGAAATGATGTAAAAGTTTGGATTTAGCACCTGAAGGTATGAAAGCATCATCCACTGACATGAAGAAATTCATGGTGGGAACAGTCAGGTTCATGAGGAATATAAAATCTTTTATCTTTTACCTATTAGGGTATGAGATATTTCAGAGACCAGTTCATGACCATCTGGAAGTCTGAGGAGTAGTTCAAGGTGAAGACACTTTAGAAAATAGTAAACAGTCTGGATGAGGGAGGAGTTGTAGATCACATTTTTTATTAGTTGGAGGTAGAAGAGTAATTCAAAAAGGTAAGACTGTGGCTGTTGCACATTTATTTCTTAAACACTCACCTTTAGGGTCAACAAGTGAGTCTAAAAGGTAAGTGAATAAAAAAATCTGACGAACAGAATAAACATGAATATAATAGAATCAGGGGCATAGAAAGGGAGTGGCTTGACAGTTCTCAGGGGGAAGGAACTGTATGGGTGCAGGGTTGCGGGAAGAGACTGGACAAAAATCATACACCTTTAGAAGAGTACTGTAGGGGGGGATAAGGGTAGGAACCAGGTGGAGGGTAGCTACGGAAGGAAAATGGGGAACTACTGCAATAATCTGAACAAAAAGAACATCGATACTGGATGCTTGCACTCCTATGCCTTCCCAATCAACACACTGACCATGTGAGTCATCACCTCGACCTAAATGGTGAACACAGGAGCCAGGGATTTACCCAGGGTCACACTGACAAGTGGGCTCTCAGTTTGCTGCCAGTGACATCTGAACAAACTCCTTTTTCTGAGGTTCACCCCTTTGAATCTTGCCAGTGACAGTTTAGGGCAACCTGGGGAGTGTCCACCTGGATGAGGAGCCAGGGACCCATCCTGACTGACTTCCACTGTCATTTTCTAACAATCCCCACTCCTCTCCTCATCCCCCCAAGAGGTTGGCACCATGTGATCCACTTAAGGGGCCCATCAAGTATGTCATGTACTGTGGCTTCATGAACCCTGATGTTGATTGCAGCCTGTGATGTGGTTTGACCAACGAAATAATGTGGTAGTGAAGCCTGTCAACCTGACAGAATAGTCTGGAAGATGTCTCTCCATGTCTGATAACACCTAGCAGGTATCTAAACCTTTATCCCCATACCAGGAGAACGAGGGTGGACATGTGTTATAAACAAGGAACATGCCTTCTTTAGTGTAATCCACTAAAGCTTTTGGGCTGTTCTTTACCCACAATAACATTCACGCTGCCCTAATATGAATGCATCCCCTATTCTACCCTCTAGGAGGCAGCAGAGCCTAACATTGGAAGCCAGAGCTCTGTGGTTAGAGACACATGGGCTTGACTTCAAGCCATGCCTCTTAGTAACTCTACAATCAGGCGGTTTATTCTGAGTCTCTGAGCCTGGATTCGCTCCCCATTTAATAGATGGTTAAACCATTACAGGTGTGGAGAGGATTCAATGAAATAATGCATGTAAAGCATTGAATCCAAGGCCTGGCATATGTAGTAAACATTCACAATGTGTTTGTGAATGTTTATAGTTTCACAATGTGTATTGATCGCAAGTATTCTAAATGTAGTAAATGTCAACTTGTTGGCCTATGTATTGTTTCATTTTTTATTTTAAAATGAATAGGGTAGGATCATATATATATTCTCTCATAGCCTGCTTTTTCTCTAAATAATGTGTTATTTTTATGTTAAAAAGAAATCCAGGCTGGAGTGGCTATGTTTGTTGACCAGGACATTTGCCAGTTAGGTTTTCCTTTGAGGATACCAGCTTTGGTTATGGACACAATCCCCATTCAGGGGCATGGGGAAGTCAGCCAATCTTTGTAACTCCTTTTGTCTTCCTTCTCTCTCTCAAAATCAATTAAAACATCTTTATTTATCCATTTATAGTTGTCAACTTCAGGAAACATGGAAATAAGACTTTTTGCCTCATGAAGCATTCT